AACTGTCAGGCTCTGAAGAGTTATCACAAGCAATATCCAGGTCAAAGAGAAGCAGGGCTCAGGGCGTGGGTTCGGTCACGTGTGACGTCTTTGACCCGATTTGTAAAGCAGAGGCGGTGTTCTGCTCGCGGACCAGCTTTGTACCACTGTCTGTTCCGACGTAAGACTCCCGGGGGCCTCCAGGTGTCTTTCTCTCCGACACCAGCCCCTCCAGCACCTCTGGCCCCTCGTCCCCTCCTTCCTCTGGAGCCATCGAGAACTCAATTCTCTTAAAAGAACTGAACATTGGACAAAACAATGGCTCTAGAGCGTGCTCATGTGTAGCTGGCTGGTTGGAACTGGTTAGAAATGTACTCTCGGCTTCCTGCCTCCGGCTGGGGAGCCGGCTCCGCATCCCGGTCTAGGGAGGAGTGTCCTGTCACATGCCGCAGGCCGGGTTCCAGCCCCACGTCTTGTCCTCAGGGGTGGGACATCCCGCATGCACATGGCTGTGGTTTCATCATCCCACACTCATCACTGCCTTCAGGAAGATAGAATTTTGTTAGGCAACAAGCGCTACTCTGGGGTAAACTTTGACACACAGCATTGTGCTCTTTACTGAATCAGCTAAAATGAAAATCAGGGGCAGAAGAGAAGCCTGGACAAGTTTCAAGTCTTTTCTCTTAAAAACAGCTACTTTTAGAGAAGCATTCAGATGTGCAATTAGAACAAATGACCACCTCTCAAGAACAAACTGGCTTTTCCAAAGGGGAAAAAAAGAGACAAACGGTGAATATCATAACTCATCAGTCCTATGGAAGTTCCTGGCATGCTTTGCTTTTCTCACCAGACGAGAACATGACAGTCAGATGAAGATGTTCAACTTCGTGGGAGGTTGGCACCGCTAACCGCTGTGTTGTTCAAAGGCCAGCTGTAGTCATTAGTCCCTATGTATTTTAATATTTAGAAATTCTCGAACATTCAACAAAATACATGGGATCCTAGGATTCCGACCAGGTTTACAAGTTGAGGTTGAGTGTTGGTGTTTGAGGTCTCAGCAACAACACACATTTGATTATTACCTAACTAAAATGTGCAAGACTCAAGGGCATACAAGGTCAGTGGAGGCAGACAGCATCCTTCTATGCCTCCTCAGCAGCAGCCTGTAGTTCAAGACGTCTGAAGAGCTGCCCTGGATTCTAGAGCTCATCAGGGTGGTGGCTCTGTCTCGTGTGCAACAAATCTTTACTGAAATGTTCCTTGAGCCCGTCACCCTCCTGAGGGATACTGGGGCTCAAAGGACTGATTCCTGCCCCAACCAAAGTCTAGTTTCAAGGCAAAACCTGGGTCGTCTGGCAGGGTCAAACGTATGTATGTGTCAACTATAGAGGAGAGCAGACGAGGAAAAAAGAGAGATGGGTTACTGGGACGTGAACAGATCCAGAAGGCTTCCCAGAGGAGAAGAGTCTGGCTAGTCCTCGAGTGAAGCAGGCTGTCCATAGGGGTCAGTGATGGAGAGGAGAGGGAAAGAGGTAGTATAAGAAGAGATGGATGTTGGAAGATGTGCTTGGGGCAATGAAGGAAGAAATGACGTACACTGGACCCTCTCTTTAGGTTAGAGTTGGGAGGGAAGAGGATTTGGAAGAAGATTATGGGTCTTTGGATAAAGTAGACTAACTGGTAATAAAGAACTCATGTATCTTAACTCATGTATTGTAATACAGCAATTTTTTTCCTTGCTCATTTAACAGTAGGTATTTAGTGGGTAGATTTTCATATGATGACTCAGGAAACCAGACCTTTTTCATGTTTTGCAAAGTTCTTGATGTCCCCTCCATTCAGCTAGTTATCCATCCAGTAGAGAGAGAAAAAGAGAATGGAGCATTGTGCATGAAAGATTGTTTTCTAAATTTATTTTTATTTTTTATTGCACGTATTGGGGTGACATTGGTAAATAAAATAATATAGGTTTCAGGGATACAATTCTATAACACATCATCTGTGTATTGTATCGTGTGTTCACCACCCCAAATCACGCCTCCTTCCATCACCATTTATCCCCCCTTTACCCTCTTCTACCTCCCCTCAACCCCCTCTCCCTCTGGTTCCATGGAAGACTTTTATGGTGACCCCTACACATGTGGCATATTATGTTCACTCACCTCCCATTGGTCAGAACTGAGTCAGATGGCCACACCTAACTGCAAGAGAGTCTGGGAAATGTAGTGCTACCGTGTTGGGAGAATAAAGAAACAGATGTTAGCGAGTGACTTTTAGCCTGAGTGGGTTGAACTTGACCCTCAACGCAGCGTTAGATCCTCCTCTGCCTTAGCATGGGGGCATGCTCAGTGACAGTGCAAGCCCCATAGAGAGAGGTTTCTGTGTGTCACATTCATTGTTGCAGCCCCAGCCTGTGATAGGTCTTTCCTACTTGATCCAATAATGAAATGATGGATGGATGCTAGAAAGGGGTCTTGGCCATAGGGAACCTTCCAGAATGAATTTTTGGAGGAGAGTTGAGGCCGGGAAGCCGATGAGAACGCAGTTGTGATCATCTGATAGAGCCCAAGTTTGTGCAGGTACAGTAGGAATTAGGACATTTTTAGAACCAGAAATGTTTACTTCTGCTATTTTAACTGTTTTCGTTTACAGCATAGCCACAGTTTATAGTTTAACCAGAGTCCCTGTGGAGCTGAAATCAGAGAAGCAGGCAGTGAGCCAGAAGGGCCTGGGGCTTTCTTTGGAGGCATTGACTGGAAAGCAGCCTGGGGTCTGGGGCTGTGTCACCACATTGCAACCCAAACAAAATAAAACTTGACCAAACCAGCAAACCCAGATTGGAGTTCAAGTTACTTTAACGGGCTCTGGGGAGACACACACTGCAGTTGTATTATGTATGCAAAATGCGCTCCCTGACCTTATTGTAAGGAAAATTACTGCCGTCTACATCATCCTTTGCCAGCTCTCCAAAGTGTTGGACAAGCTCACTCTTATGCAATTTGCAACATTAATTTTTTTTTTTTTTTAATTTTAACACATGCCTGAAAAATAGATGCTGATCCAGCGAGAACAGAGGCTGTCGATGAAGAGAGTATGTTCTCTGTGCACCTAGGAGAAGCCTGAGGCTTCAGGATTTGGGGGAGTCTTTGCAGATGGAGTTCTTTGAAGTGAAAAGCCAAGGGCAGCCTGTGTCCACCTCTCGATTTGACGTCTGTGGCGTGTGTGTGAACGGGCAGGCCTCCGAGTCCCCTCTGCTCCGATGCTGCGTCTCTGGACTTGAGGGTTATGCGGAGTCGAGGCAGGAGCCTCACAGGGAACAGCCAGGGATTCGTAGGAACTTTTTAGTGATTCTTGCTGATCTGAAAATAATGTAAAAACAACAGAAGAGCTCTTTGTGGTGTTTTCACATGTTCTTTATTGGTTTAGGAAAGGATCCAACAGTAAAGTGGTTTAAAAATCATAAATATTTAAAAAGACATAATGTGCCCTGCCCTTTTCATCCATCCCCACCAAAAAATAAACTATAATAATAAGAATGGCGAGAGCAGGAAGAGAAGGCAGAAACAACGGGAGCCGGCGGTGCTCTGGGACAGGTACAGCCGGGTCAGGGCCCGTGCAGAAGGCCGTGGGCCGCGGGGACAGGTACACCCGGGTCAGTGCCCGTGCAGAAGGCCGTGGGCCGCGGGGACAGGTACACCCGGGTCAGTGCCCGTGCAGAAGGCCGTGGGCCGCGGGGACAGGTACACCCGGGCCAGTGCCCGTGCAGAAGGCCGTGGGCCCCTGAGACAGGTACACCCGGGTCAATGCCCGTGCAGAAGGTCGTGGGCCCCTGGGACAGGTACACCCGGGTCAGTGTCCGTGCAGAAGGCCGTGGGTTGCTGGGAGGAAACACCAAGGGAACCTTTCCCTTGCCAGCACCAGGCTCTTTGAGGCCAGTTTCTCCTTTCTGGAAGCTTCGTGAGATATAAATGATCAGCCTGAGACCACGGATACCTGAGGGTCTCTTAATTTGGTTTCTTCCTCAACTCCCGAGAAGCCAACTCGTTGAAATTGTTCACAAATTTGATAGCAATTCATTTCGCACAGGGTGGTTTTCACATGAGCCTCGCAAAGTTGTTGGATGTAAATCAGCTGGAAAGCAGGTGTTTTTATTTTTTTCCTTCCCTTGTCCCAGATTTTAAAGATTCATTAACAAGCTGCTCAGGTTTGAAAACCAGGCGTCTCTGTGCTGCCTGGAGGAGGGGGTCGCGTTAGCATATTTTCAGGAGGAAGGAATGGGGGTCGGGTTTGGGGGGCTGGAGGGTTGAGAATGAGGGGCAGGGACAATATCTGAAGGCTTTGGACTTCTCCCGGGGCACACGGCCTATCTTCCCAGTATCAGCCGCCGTACACCTGCCTTCTCCTTAGCCGAGGGAGACATGAGGCCAGCTTGGTATATTCAGTGCAATCGTCCCCCAAACATGGGCTTCCAGTGCGCCCTTCTGGAGCGGATGGGCCGCCTCCCCTCATGCCAACCTCACTGAGCCATCCCAGCACCACCTCTACGCTGTGGCAGAAAGGGGAACCTTCCTGGAGGAAGATGTGTAGGGGACCCACAGGGAAATGGGGTCTGAGAGAGGAGGGAACGTCTCAGGAAAACCCCCAGGCTCCTTGGCTTGCTGGGGGTTGCAAAGGGAGGCAGCTTGTCCTGGTTTGCCCAACACTTTCCCCATTTCAGTCCCGAAAGCCTCAAGTCTCAGGCACACTGAGGTGGTTGGCTCGTCTTCAGGACAGAGGGAGCGGCGGTGGCCTGTGTGAGAGGCGATGCTGTCATCGTGTCTCGTAAGGGTAGTCTCTTTGCAGGTACAGTCGCGTGGGTTACAGGGAAGAGAAAAGGAGGCTTGGGAGACGTTACACGGATCTCAGCCATCGCCCCGGGGACTTAATGCCAGGGAAGGCCCGGGCTTGGTCCAGATGCCTCCATCATCCGGTCTGCATTCGCTCACTTTGCTAAACGTGCGTTTTTATCTCTTTTTCTTCAGGGAGGCAGGACACAGTGCGTGCGAGAAGTCTGTCCCATTCTCTCCTGTCCTCAGCACCTCAGCCACATTCCCCCGGGACAGTGCTGCCCCAAATGTTTGGGTGAGTGACAGTTTCAAGGTCAGAGAACAATGTAATATATTCTCGATAATTTCTGCTTGAGGGTGTTCACCCACATTGTTGTCTCGGGGTCCTCAGTGGTCCTGTTTTCATGGCAACTACTTGTAATTAAATGAGCGTAAGGAGGGCATAAGCTTTTTCTTTTCTGAGGCCTCGTGTCTGTAAGCCTGGTATACCAGATAGCCGGGGACAATACCCTCTTGTGGGAGAACAGTAAGGAAGATACTGCCTTTTGTTGGGAATATGATGACCAGTTGGAACAGACTTTAAAGTCATGGAAAGTAAACACACAGAAATATAGACGAGAGTCACTTTTAGAGTCCAAAGTGTAACATGCCTGAAATAAGGTTTGGAAGGGAACAGTGGACAATAGCCAAAAAAAGGAGAGTATTAGCTCTTTCTCTTTGCATATTTACTATGGACTAAGCACCACGTGAAACATTTTATGTGCTTATTCCCAATCCTAAAAAGCTTGTGCACCTGAAACCTGTATAGTTTTGTTAACCAGGGTCACACCAATATATTCAGTAAAAAACCATCTTAAGAAGTGTGATATAGAGGTACTCAATATATTATATAATTCCAGTATGGAATATAGGTGCAATTATTAGTTTTATTGTCCTGAGAGGGAGGACAATTTCTGGAAGGTGGCACAGCTAGGGAGCGATGGGCTGTTACCTAAACATGAGTCTCTGTGATTTCGAAGTCCATGCTTGCACCTGCTGTGACCCACCTGCGCCGGCCCACCTGCGCCCATGACAGGGAGGACAGCAGGCACATCGCCAGCTGAGAGGGGAGCGTCCATGATGGCGAGTCTCTAGAGCGTGAGGGTCGTTGGCTTCTGTTTATAATCCATATGTCAGCTTCCTCCGTATGGTCCTTAGCCTCTGGAGTTAGTCGAGGTCAGATTCTTTAAGATTCAAATAAAAGTAGCTTGGCCCATCATATGAATACAACAGAGCCTCCAGCAGCCCCAGTGGAATCTCCAGGGATCCTTGAGGGCGTTCGGATTTTCCCAAGTCACCGCTGGCTTTGTGTTTCTGCTGTCACTGTTTCTCTTCGTTCCCTTCCTTGCCTGTCCCCTCCTGCTCCTCTTCCTCCTGTATGTTGTCCTTTTAGAGATACTCCCATCCAGTCTCGTCACACCCTAGAGGGCTGTTGAGTCAAGGCTCGTGTGGCAGGCTTTCCTGGAGTTTGCAGTCCACGAGAGTGAACACAGGAGCGGCAGGGAGAACAGAAAGCGAACCATTAAGCGTCTTTTTTTTTTTTTTTTTTTTTTACAAGGTCTTAGCCATTTTTGCCTTTAGGAACATTTTAGTTTGTCCATTTTATTTGGACTCCGGTCTTCAGCGGCTGTCCACACCCTTCTCTTGAATCCTCTCTCCTTTCTTTCCTAGTTTGCTTTTCCCCATTTCAACACAGCCTGTTGATTTATTATTCTCACTCCCAGCTTATCACAGCTTTACCCCGAAGTCTATCTTTCTACAAAAACATTGGCAAGTGGAGGTATCCTGTTGACTAAGGCAGATTTCTCCACTCATTGGCATTGGGCTGCTACTGCCAACTCTCCATCTAACAATGTTGGCCTTCTTGCCACACACACACACACACACACACACTTTTAAAGTAAATATGACATAATTATAAGACCAAAGGAGACTTGTTTAGATATGCCTGACTAAAGATATTTCCACTAATGAACATGCTTCTTGGATTGTCAGAGGGTGCCTGTGTCCCGAGAAGAGAGTTAGCCAGTTCACTGCGGTTGAAATCATCAGGCGGGGGGCGTGGCGGGAGCAGCTCCTGCAGCAGGAAAGCCTTCACAGAGGAGGTGGCGCCAGGGACCTGCCCTCCCCAGGACGGATTAGTGCTTTGAAGCTAGTACCGTGGATACGCTGAGTCAGCTGAGAAGGTTCTCATCTGAGCAATGGCTGCTGCATTGAATGTGGATTTTTGTGTCCATTTGTGGTCATAAACAGACTACAAAAGGAACAGAAAGTCTTAGGAAACTTGAAAATCATAATTCTCCCAAATGAAACCTTTTTTTTTCCCGGTTGGGTCAAACCCCAGTGGAATAATGTGAAAATGGCTCAAATCAGGCTGCACCTGGAGTCTCTGAATTACTTTTTTAATGTTTTGTCTTATTTTGGGCCATGATGACTTTGGGATTAAGATAAGGTTTTTATCTTCTTTGGGGTTAAAAGAAACATACCCAAACACACACACAAAAAAAGACAGAAAGGGAAAAAAATAAAACACTGGAATATTATCTAGATGCTGAAATCTGAGCCTGAATAGACTTTTGATTGGTTGGACCCAAGTTGCTATTCAATCATCCTTCACCAAGATTCATTCACCTGACATACCTCTGCCTTTTTAAAAAAATATGTTTTTATTGATTTTTTTAGAGAGAGAGGAAGGAAGAGAGAATAGAAACATTGATGGGCCGCCTCCTGCACATCTCCTACTGAGGATCAAGCCTACAACCTGGGCATGTTTCCTTACCAGGAATCAAACTGGGACCTCTCAGTCCATGGGACGATGCTCAGTCCACTGAGCCACACTGGGCAGACCAGACCACTATCGTTTACATTACAACATTATCTCTTTTCTTCTTTTCACTGAAAAGCCTGGTCAGAGTTTTGTGTACACAGAGCACCCAATTCCCCTTTCAGAGTGACATGGCCCAGGATCATATTTGAATTATACCACCGGTAATGATGACAGTACATACCATCTGACATTTTGGGGGGTGTTTAATGAGTGCCAGGCTCTGGGCTAAGATCTTTTTAGGTAAAATTTAAATTTTAGTGAGGATAATTGAAGCCATTGGTTAGATTTATTCAGAAGAGGGATGAACTTGTTGAAGGGTGTTTTTGTTCAACAATCTACTGATGCATGTATCCATCCATCCATTTATCCATCCATCCATCCATCCATCCATCCATCCATCCATCCATGCACAATATCGAGTACTGTAATTGTAGTGAAAGTAACAAGAAGGGGCTATTTATTCCAAGAAGGGAAAGGCCTCCTTAGAACATGTATTTTGATTGGTAGAGAAGGAAGCTTAACTATTGCCAAATATGATGTAAGTCCACTTTACAAAACGCATGACGCCTATGTAGATTGATGATAGGAGAAATGTGAACCAAGCTAATTCTAAAGAGACATGACACCTGTGAAAGGTGGACGCATGGCTGGTGTAGCTGGATTCTCCCTGTGTGCTCTTTGAGTCGGCTTCCCCTTGGTGCCAATGGACTCTCTTCAACTGAAATGCCATTAGTTCTCTTTGCTCATTCTTCTTCCGTATAGGATATCTTGATTCCGCCTGTAGCATTCCTTCCAATATTCACTTTCTGGATAAACTTACTCGATCTTTAAGATGTAGCTCAGGCATCACATCTTTTGAGAAGTTTTCTCTGTCCTTCCTGTCCCTTTGCTTCCCAGATTAGCTTCTTTCCAGGATTTACCATATATTTGCGCTGAAATCACGTTTTATGTATTTGTTTTCCCAGTAGACTCTGTGCCCCATGAGGACAGATCTAAGTCTTCGTCCCCTTGGCTCACTAGCTGGATATAAACGAAAGATTTGGTGAACTTACAGGGTGCAAACTCCTTGTAACAAAAACTCTCTGAACTAATGACTCCTGGGGCTCCCCTGGGGGCGTCTGCCCCCAGGCTCTATTTTGATGCATCAGATGGACCTGGTCTTGTGAGAATGTTGAACTGCCCTGTGCTGTAACCGCTGATGACAGAGTGGGACGTCCTTGGCTTCTGTCTTACTGACACTCGCCTTTGCTTCCCTCCAGGTCAGAGGAAAGTGTTTGACCTCCCGTTTGGAAGCTGCCTCTTCCGCAGTGATGTGTACGACCACGGATCTACCTTTCTCTACGATAACTGCACTGCGTGCACCTGCAGGGTACGGTGGTCTACGGGCTCTGTCCAACTACAATAGCGTCTGGGGCTTTCGTGTCAGCATTGTAGCCAAATACAATGTGCCACTTACCAGGGGGAGGTGTTACTAATGCCCTTTTAGAGTGAAATCACACTTAAAGTTGCAAGGAAGTCCAGAGGACCCAAATTACAGCTCGTTGTCATCTTCCTGGGAACAAGCAGTTAGCTCCTGGTGGTGAGAACTCGACTCTGAGAGGCTGTCAGACGGATACACGGGGCAGCGTTTGCTGGATCTAGTTGTCCACGGTCCGTCCTCTGACTCACCTGGCAACGGAAACGGCTTTCATCGCGTCCGAGAGTCAAGGACGGCATGGACCTCCAGCGCGTCCCAAGAGACACCTGTAGTTTGGGAAGAGAGTCTTTATATTTTGTTCACCGCATCATTTGTTACTTTAGGCATGGCTCACTTTTCTCAAAAGGCAACCAGAAGTCTCATGACTGGTAGAGAAAGAATTCCACCACTGCCCAGTGTTAAAGGGAAACGCAGCACACATCTCTGGACTGTGCTTAGGTGGCGATTTATTTTCGGGACCAAGAAGAGCATCATTTCTAGGGAGGACCTTAGGATCTTTCCTTAGTGAGTGGGCCCAAACATCTGTGTGACATGAGTGCCGAGTAACACGTTTCGGTGCTGACGGTGGTTGTTTTGAGTTTCTTAGCCAAGGGAAGGAGAGGAGGCTGTCCGTGCTGGCTGTGGGTCAGCGGCTGTGACGAGTTCGGGAGGTCCTGATTACAGGAGGCGTGCGCTGTGAAGGGGCAGGCACTGGCTGAGTGAGGCTGACCCGTGTGTTCCCCGCACTCAGCACCGAGCCTTTGCTGAGCCCGAGCAAGCTTTCCCGAGGCCCCCTCCTCTCTTTGGGGTTTGCACTATCCTACGCTTAACATACGGCCGCACTCTTTTGCTTGGCCCTGGCCTCCATTCTCAGGACCTCTCCTTTCCAGGGGGTTCACAGGTTATAGCTTCCTCTTGGGGATACTGAGCTTCTGCTAAAACCCATATCATTCCCAGTTCTCTTGATTGCAGGAAAGCCAAGCATCCCATGAATGGGGATTAGTCCCAGGACTCAAAAGCAGTGTAATTAATACTGGTCCTTCAGGGGGTTGTTTATTAGAGGATGAGTTCACAGTCATCTTGGGCAAGCAGATGCTTGGGAAAGCGAGCTCCAGTCACCTAGAGTGGTCAGCACTGTTCTCTCTGCTCGGGGCGTCCTTCTCCAGCATCCCCACTGGCGGTGCTGGGAACTGTTTGGTCGATCTCTGAACACAGCCTGGCTTCAGGTCTCTGTGCCTTCAGGTTGGATGATTTCTCTACCTGCAGTGTCCTCATCGTCTTTACATTTGAGTAGCAAACTCCTCTTCATCCACAGCAGCCTGTCTCAGATGTCACCTCCTCCAGGGAGGCTTTCTCGACCCGCCTCAATAGGGAATTCTTTCTTCTTCTCTGCTACCTCTGCACCTGGCCTGCTTCTGTTCACCACATGATAGGGTCATCTATTTGTGCTCGTGGTTCTCTCTCCTTTCACTCTCTGAGCTCACTGAAGACAGAAGCTCATCCAGTCATCTCTGTATCCTTTTGATGAACCCAGTGCCAGGCACACGGTCTAGCGGATATTGCAGGTGTGTATTGTATGAAAATTGGGGAATCTGTGATGTATGCATTATTTGAAAGCTAGTGAGTACAAATGAAAACACGCAATTTGACAAAGTGTTCTTTTTTCCCCAACTTATGAGTTGACTGATAATAATTTCTATGAGCCAGGGTCTGTTGCAAATGCTTTAAATATTTCATTCAATTGCACATGAAACCTGAGAAGCAGGTATTATTAGTTGCATTTCGAAGGTGAGGAGCTGGAGGCTCAGAGAGATGGACGTGCACAGTTAGCACACCTCACACGTGAACTGGCGTTCTACCCTGGATTGGTCACCTCAAAATCCTGTCCACCACATGACATGGGGAGAAGTTTCAATGTAAAGGCTAACAAATGACATTGTTTGGAGGATCATCTGAGTGTCATATTAACCTTAGATGATTAATCAGTGAGACTATGGTAGATGGTACCATAGTCATATAATTAGCACAGAATCTACAGGAGTCACATAAGTTGATTTATACAAACTAACTGTACATAATGCTTGGGAATAAGTCCTTGCTCAAAGCTCATCAATAGGGTGTGTTCCTGGAGAGAGGTTCAGTCTCATTTCTCTGCCATTGTCCTCACGCTAACTCAGTGCTTTGAGGGGTTTGCTGACCTACCCTAGGACACATCTCTTCTCCATCGTGTCTTCCACTACATTTCATAAATGTTTTGCTCTTTCGTTCTGGCGGTTGACCTACTGCAGGTGCAGTTGTGTCTTGTTGGCTGGGGAACTAGGAGAGTTTACTTTTCTTAAGCTGCTCCGAGATTGTCCTCAGTGTGTCGTTGAACGAATCAGTAGACACAGTTCCCTCGGCGACTTTGCGCAGGGAATACTACTTCTGTGGAAGGCAAGTCCTACCCCTTCAAGTCACAAATTTAAGCTTGTCACCCTCAGAGGTCAAGTGGCCTGATTAGGTCACATGGTTCATGGAAGAGCTGCAGAACCAGGTCCGCTTTTGGAATTGTTCTTTCCATTTCTTGGTGGACCTAGAACACACTAAGGAATCTCATTTTGAGGGGGAACATTGACTCTCAATCTTGCTCTTTGATCAGAGGTTTTATGCTGAAGGTGGAGAAGCCCAGGAGGAGACCCAGAGACCAGTGTGAAACAAGGAAAAAGGAAAAGGCCAGAACACTCGTCGGCCCATCATGAGCTGGGCCTTCTGGCCACACACTGGCTGAAGCAGAATCTTTAGTCTCTTGGGCATTCAATGATAAACTCTTAGAAGGTAGGGGGCATAGGTCACACTGTACATAGTCCAGATAGGTAACCAACAAATAACATTTTGAAGTAGATGAAAGATCGGTTGCAGTAAATTAAAATACGGAATCTTCGGAGCGCGTTTGAAAGCAGTCAGTGGTGGGTTGTTAGGCCGGGCCAGGGAGATGGTGGTGGGGGTGGGCTCATGTTAACTTCCGGTTTGCCTTGGGCCCCCAGGACTCTACAGTGGTGTGTAAGAAGAAGTGCTCACGCCCTGGAGACTGTGACAGGGGCCAGGAGGCCTGCTGTGAGGGATGCCTCCTGCACATGCCCCCGGAAGACATCAAAGTGTGCAAGTTTGGCAACAAGGTTTTTCGGGTATGTCGTGAGCCAAGCCCGTGGGGATTCCTGTACACACTGAACTGTAAAAAGTGCCACACCAAAGGCAGATTGGAGACTTCCATATTTTGTGGGTGTGTGTGTATGTGCTAATCTATACAGACACTTATTTATATTGTAATATTATATATGCTTATATATGTAGAATGAAGTGCACATAGGAACAGAGAAGCAACTGTTTGAAAATGTCTTTCTTTGTAAAATTTTTCTTTTGAAAAATGCTTTATTTTTACTGTATATATATTTTTTTGTTGTTAAATTTTATTTTTTATATTGATTTTTAGAGAGGAAGGGAGAGGCAGAGAGAGATAGAAACACCGATGAGAGAGAACATTGATTGGCCGCCTCCTGCACGCTCTCCCTCCGCCCCCCCCCCCCCCCAGGGATCAGGCCCACAACCTGAGCATGTGCCCTGACCAGGAATCGAACTAAGCCCTCTTGGTGCAGGGGTCGATGCTCAACCACTGAGCCACACCAGCCAGGCTGTATGAAATACTTTAAACTTGTAAAACATTATTGGCTTTTCCAGATGGGGTGAGCCTGTGATTGGGGTTGAGCTGAGACGGCCCTGATGGTGCAGTTATGGGTGCTTGAATGCCCGGGAACATGGCAGTCAGAGCGGCTCAGTGTCCCTCACCACGATCCTGAGGGTTCTATAGGTTCTGTAGCTTGATACTTTCAGGACGTTTTTACAGCGCTGCTCTCCAGAGAGAGATGTTCTTGTTCGGAAGATGTTCAGGGAGGGTGTCCACGGGGTGCGTGGCCAGCACGGCGGCTGCGCAAAGGTGAGGGCTGCCCGGGGCCATCTGCTCCCGCCACAGCTGTGGTTGCATCGTTTTCTGACGGCCCGAGCAGGAAGCTGTGCAGTGACCATTTATTTCATTTATTTAATTTTTTAATCCTCACCCGCTTACTGATTTTAGAGAACGAGAGAGAAACATCGATGTGAGAGAAAAACATCAATCAGTTGCCTCCCATCCATGCCCTGACTGGGGATCGATCCCACGTCCTAGGTATGTGCCCTGACTTGGAATCGAACCCACAACCTTTCGGTGTGCGAGACAATGCTCCAACCAACTGAGCCACACCGGCCAGGGCTGTACAGCGGCCATTTAAACACCAGGATGAAGGTTGCAGACTTTGTCCAAAGTGCTTCGCATCGTGTCTGTTTCCCAGGGGCGGAGAGAGGCTCTCTGCACCTGGAGGCCCTTGCATCAGCCCCGTGATAACTGAGACCCTCAGGACCTAGTCAGTAGGGAAGGCCCTCGGGCACGCCGCATGTAGCCAGGCTTCCTGATGGGCTCTAGATCGCAGTCAGAGTCTTGGCTCGTACGGACTCGATGAGAAGACATGGTGTGTCATGCCCAGGGGAAGGCTCGCGTGTGTGGCATATACACCAGGCTTCCAGAGCCTGCGTCCCCTCCACAGGAAGCCACACTCTGCCAGAGCACCGGGCACGGCAGACTCGCCCTCGGATGGCAGTGTGCGCAGAGTGCTTGCCAGGCCCCTTTACACGCGGTTCCTCTGGGTGCCCGAGGCCTGAGTCACGGACAGAGGGCGTCCTTGAAGCACTGAGTCCCAGAAACGGACTCGGAGAATCCGGGCCAGTCCATGCCCTTAAGACAGATCGAGGGAAGTCTTCTTCTCCTGAGAAGTAAAAGGCACTAGAGAGTCGACAGTCCTTAAGAAGCTGTCAAACATGAGAAGGAAGAGGAAGAGGAGCAGTTAACACCACAGACCTGAGCTGGTATCTCGTCTGTTTTGAACAAAATTGGCCGCTGAGAGCCACAAGCCCAGAAAGGAATCCTAGTTTGTTTTCAGGCTCAGCTCTATTGCTTATAATCTCCTTTCCCCAAAGCAAGGATGCCCATCCCTGCCTGCTCTCCAGAGCTAGGGACGGGCTTCTTCTGGCTGGCCATTTGGCGATTTCAGATTATAAATCCAGTGAGCCAAAGAGATTCTTCAAACACCCTTTCTGGGTGAGAAAATGTGTCCCAAAGTGCTTCCCAGCTTTTTAGGAGGAACGCATCTGACGGGCAGGGACATGTTTGAGTGGCTCTCGGGGTTTGCTGTCTGGGCCCCACGTTTTCAGATGGCTTGCTGGTCAGGTGTCGGCCTGGGCAAGGGGAGTCCTTTGAATGAGCTTCTGTTCTTGGCATGCTTGTGCCCAGTGTGTCCCAGAACCATGTCACATCTGGGAATAAACTGACCACCTGTGGACATGCCAGTTAACAGTCAGTGCCTGGGCGCAGCTCGGACATTTCTGTCTTATCACATGGGAGACATGAGACCTTTGTGATTACATTATGCATGAAAACTCCTGTTTGTCTCCCAACGCAGGAGGAGCAAGATGCAAATAGGACCTAGTTAGTCCCCCTCAAATTCTTTTTCTGTCCTGGAGGGGAACATCACACACACACACACACACACACACACACACACACCCCTCAAACCTGATCTTACATTAAATTGCTTAGGTACAGGCAGGTAACTCAGAGTAACGTAGTCTGGTGATGGTATCCATCTGCTGTCCGGGACTCAGGCATGCCAGCCTGCTGGACGAGCGCCCTCAGCCCCCGCTGATGGCAGGTCCTGTGCTCCCTCCCCAGGATGGAGAGATGTGGTCCTCCGTGAACTGCACCATCTGCGCCTGTGCGAAGGGCAAGACGGAGTGTCGCAAGAAGCAGTGCGCCCCCATCAGCAGCTGCCCACAGGTGCGTGTGCGCTGCCGACCGCCTGGCCTTCACCTGGGCATCCTGTGTGTGGCATGGTCCCGTGGTCACCGAATCCAGATCCCCTCCAACTTCCAAGTCCCCAGAGAGCCACATGCCCTTGCGCAGCTCGCTCTTCTGCAGTTTCTGTCCAGACCCAGCCTTTGTGAGGACAGCTCCCACCTCGCTCTTCTCTCCGCTCCCCAGTTTCTTAGTAGCTTCGCCCAGGTCTTTGTTTTAACGTCTCCGGCTCCCGGGCGGTCTGCTCCCTCGTCTTTGGCTGGGTTTTCTGTTGAACGTCAGCAGCATCCTTTGCATTTCCCTCCTCTCTCTGTCTTCTCAGATCAGTTCTCAAACCCACATGTGGCTGTTTCACAGTACATTTCCCCAGGGTTTCTCCTGCCGAGCAGCACCCCCGGCCCCTCTCTGAAGTGTTCCCTCTCGAACCCTGTTCTCCATTATGGCCCCGAATGGGAATCGCGTCCTTGTGGAAATATCTCTTTTCAGAAGCCCCGGTTCCCGCGCAGAAGAAAGCGCTCATTATCTTCTCAAACACGAGTGCACTGAATTCATCTCGGCAACGTGAAACCCCTCCGAGTGCCCCGCGTTTGGGGGAAATGTCAAACCTATTCAATACCTTCCAGGGAATGAAAAAAAAAACCCATCCATAGATTCAGGACATGTCCTCCCTTCTCCATTATCGACAATCGTTCATTTCATTCACATCTGTTATTGCTGCAGACAAAAGGCGCTGTTTCTGCTCAGCGGCCGACCGAGGCACGAGGAACCACAGCTGTCGCTGTTGCACAACCGAATAAAGGGGGAGAAAAAAACAAAACCCTAATTAGTCCTGCTTTATAGAGCCTCAGACATAAAACCGAAAACCTCCCATGAAAGAGGGCGGCGGAAAGGAGACACATCCATAGGCTTGCTCACGGCCTGCTCATACATATTCATCGGGAAATCAGATCACGTCTTTTCCACCAGTCCTGGGGGAACCCTGGCTGCTAATGACCTCTCGCAGCACATGGTAGTAATAATGGGCTTCCTTACTCCCCGAGACAAAAACAGGGCGCTGTGCCAGCCTGGTGGCTCAAGTAACGCGCTCAGCGGGCCCGGTGGAGAGTCCGGCGTCCCGAGGGGCCTGCGGTTGCGGCGGGGTTGGTGGTTTTCATTGTCCTCTTGCTGTGGGGAGGTCAGTGTTCTCTATGTCAGCAGCAGCGTCTCCTCCGCGTTCCTTCTCTGCGGACCACGTTGGTGCCAGGGGCATCCGTGGCTCCAAACCCAGGCCTTCGCCCAGCTCACCTCCTTCTTGCCTTGTCAGGCTTGTCCTTGCTGGCTTCTGCCTGGGACGGTCTTTCCCCGCCGGCCTCCAGCTCACACTGTCCCTCCCCCTGGCCAGTGCAAGCACTTTGGAGAAAGCTGAGTTCTAGCAGGAAACCCTGTTAAATACTTACTTACTTACTTCCCCTCCCCAGCACTGCCTGGGGAGATACATAAAATTCAAAGCGTCATCACGCATTTCCTGCTCGGTCCTTCCTGGGAGCTACGTATCTTTGCCAGAAGTCTGTGCGCCTTGTTAGAGAAGGGTTTTATGATCGGATTCCTTGTCCACCCTCCCTGGCCACTTCCAGAGGCAGCGCCTTTCGTGAGAAGGACTGAGGGTTCCAGGAGCAACAGGGCTGTTGGGGCACTGTCATCTCATCATCGCTGACGTGCACTGAGACCGTCTCTGCAGTCGCAGGACTAACCCCGTTTATGCTGAGACCACCCCTCCGACGTGGGTGTTATCGCTGCACCCTTCTTCCGGACGAGGTCACAGCGAGTCTCGAGTTCCCCGGCTAGTTATGCGTAACCTGGGAGTTCTGACCTCCTAGCTTGTGCTTGATCTATTCCCCACCTAATTTAAAAACTTTCCAGCCCCACGTTCATTTGCTGACGTCGATGGCAGGGTCGGCCAAGGTGCAGATGTAGAAGGTCACATCGTCACCTGTTTTGGGAGCTCTGTTCCATGTGCATAGAGCACCTCACTCCATCCCCCTGGGGCCATCATGCCGTCAGCCTGAGCCAAACACATTCGGTTTGGTCCTCAACTGCCTTCAGTCCAAGAAGCCCTCGGAGGCCTGGGCGCCGAGTGGAAATGGAGATGAGAACTCTAGGCAGTGAGCACAGGCCGTGACACCCCAACCGTCAGATGACTGAGGGGGACTGAGTTTTAAGTCTCATTCAAAGTCGCCACAGCCTTCGTGTCCCATTCAGGTCTAGCTCAGCATTTTCAACAGGTGCCGCAATAACTCTTTGCACATGCAGCACCTGACTGTTTAGTCGGGGCACTGACCTCCATGTCCTTAAATTGTCAAATAAAAAAATGACAAATCAAAATCATACCAATTTTTTTGTCAAATTGGCCAAAAATATGTACAATTTTTTGGTGTGCTGCAGAATTTTAGTGATTCGTTTGTGTGTGCCGTGACATGAAAAAGGTTGAAGATCGCTGGTGTAACTGATGGATAAATGAATCAGACATGGTTCTGGTTCTGCAGTTATTAACCAGCATTTTTTGAGTCAGTATGATTTTTTTTCCGAGTTCCTAAATCTATTCTTTCTTTTTTTTTTTTCTGATTTAAAAAAAAATTAACTTTATGGATGAAAGTATTACAGATGTGCCCCCTTTTCTCCCCATTGACCCCTCCCTGCCCCCACCCTCATCCCTGCCTTCACTACCCTGTTATCTGTGTCCATGGGCTATGCATATGTGCATATAAGCTCTTCAGTTTATCTCTTCCCAACCCCTCCCCCCTTCCCTCTGCGGTGCATCAGTCTGTTCCCTGCTTCCCTGTCTCTGGACCTATTTTGTTTGTCAGCCTATTTTGTTCATTGGATATACCACACGTAAGTGAGATCATGTGATACTTGTCTTTCTCTGATTGGCTTATTTCACTTCCATTCTTGATGCAACTGACCAATAGTGAATGAGTGAATGGACTTTATAGGAACCGTGTGGCTTTGACACAGGCCTTGGGCCCTGTCTCTGTGGCCTCTGTTTCCTAGTTTCCTATGTGCAGGCCTAGGGACACCTACCTTTACAGGGTCACTGTGGAGCGCACATGAGACCCGGCGTGAAGAACGCACAGCGTTCTGTCTGGTGCGCAGCAGATACCCAGTGGATGTTAAGTTCTCCTTGCGACAGAGGATGAAAGAGGCTGGGATCTGGAGTGGGAAGGGCATGGCTTCTAGGGTTACACAAAATTAGGTTTGATTTTGGGTTCTACCACCGTGGCGTTGCATGACATCAATTTCTTCACCCATAAAAATGTAACTACTCGGCTCAAAAGGTTCTTGGACACCTTAATATATTATCATAATAATATATAGTATTAATTGAGCCGTAAATATTTTAAGTATTAACTTAGTAAGTCCTTATAACTAACCTGATGTTGGGTAACTTGAGGAAAATATCTGAAAGGAGGTTTGCTACATAGCAAAGTGCTCAGAAAATGTTCATCTTTTCCACATTTCTTCTCTCTCCGGTCCCATTGAGTCAGAGGTCAGACAGTGCCACTTTCTGATATGGGCCCGCCTTCACATGTCATGCGCTATAAAAAAGGAAAGAAATGCATTTAAGGAGATTGCACTGTATTTCCAGAAACGTGATGGAAAATTTCACAGCTCTCAGCCTCATTGGCTTTGACTGCGTAAGTTTCTGAAAGAAGAACTCTGACTGGATTTGGTCTGTGACACAGATATCGTCCGTTTCTGCGGACCCACGCTTGGGTCAGGGTTTACTGTTTGGTCCCCTCCAAGAAGCAGAATAGATTAAAGGCCTCATATGAATTGATAGGTTGACAGACAAGTCCTATTTTTATGTGCGTGCTCTTGGACCAAAGAGGGATAGATTTGGAGATCAGAGGAGGGTTGAATTTGGCCACCAACGAGTCCTTTAGAGATTCCGGCTCTCGGCGGATAAAACAGGAAAGCTTTCTGAATGGCTTGGCCTGGCCTGCGAACCTGATACTCGAAACTTCATGTTCACCATCATCATCACCTGGGCACTGAGTTCAAGTACAATGTGGACCGATCTCATTGGTTTATCTGGTGTTAGGTTTAAAAAAAGAGTTTTGTCCTCAGCAGCAGACTCTGTTTCTTAACACTAAACTCTTCTTTGTTTTTCTCTTAACCAGGGTAAAATTCTCAACAGGAAAGGATGCTGTCCTATTTGCACAGAAAGTAAGTTTATTCCTTCGAGAATGTGCTAGTAACATTGCTTTTGATTTCACAGTGCAACAAGAACGCTTGTGGGGTAAGTTTCCACGCATTGCTGTTGGTGTAGGGTGGCACCACCCCCTTCCCTGCGGTCACTGTGTTAGTGATAATCTCACTGAAGCACAACTGGAATGTGTTGCTATGAGAAATTTAGGAGGTAAATGGTGCGATGAGGTGTTTAGTTGGACCCGATAACTCAGTGTGCATTTTAATCGCCAACTGCATTTCCAGTCCTAATGGCTCGGATAATGGTATCCATTAAACCAAACATTATACCTAATCTAGGCGGGGTTTTCCTTCTGTCATCATAAGGCCACTCCCACCTGCTCACCGTCTCACCTGTGCACATCCAATGTCACTGTTGGCTGAGATAAAACGAGAGGCGTCTCTGGTCTGGCAAAGGTTTGGCTATCCTGGTGTTTTCCCCTGAGTTCTAGCAGGATCTATTCTAAGAGCGCCTGAGGCTGCCGCCACAGACCAGGCACAGCAACACATCTGATGTCCTGCCCTCGCGTAGACAGCCGCCAGGATCTACTGGCAAATCGAACGTCTTCCTCAAATCCATGCAAGGTCGAGAGAGCTTTCTGAAGTGTTCCATTGAAAGAAGAGAATTAGTAAGGTCACCGTCAAATTAGTTTCCGAGTATGCAAAGCAGAACGGACCAAGCCATGAAGTCTATTAGACGGTGTTTTATGAGCCAGCCAGGCTGAGGCTCTGTGGATGTGAAAACAGTTTTCACGCAGGAACAGGTGTACTTATTCTACTCGCCTAAAATATCTCAGACAATAGATACAGAGATTTTTACATATATGTATGTGAAATATACGTTGTTATATATCATAGCATATTATATTCTATATATATACATATACGTCTCAAAGTTTGGAATGGAGAGCTATTTAATAATTACACATTTGCCCTGGCCGGTTTGGCTCAGCGGTTAGAGCATCGGCCTGCGGTCCTGAGAGACCCGGGATCGGTTCCCGCTAAGGGCGCGTACCTCGGTTGCAGTTTGTCCCCGGCCCTGGTCGGTTGTGCGGGTGGCAGCCACTCGATGTGTTCCTTTCACGTCGATGTTTCTCTCTCTCTCTGTGTTCCTCTCTCTCCCTCCCACTCTACCTAAACAAAAAATGGAAAAGTGTCCTCGGGTGAGGATTAAAAAAAATAATAATAAATAATAATTACACATTATACACTGGATAAAAAAGTACTGATTGAATCAATGAAAATGAAATTATAGATTTTATCAAAGAACATCTCTTTAAAAATAGCGCAGTGTATAAAATAACTCAAAGGAGGCCCATGAAATATGACTTAGTGGAGCCCAGGAATTAATGCAGAAGGAATCAGCTGTGATTAACACATCAGTTACTTTTGAAACACATGTATAAACTATTACACTTAATCATCCTCCCAGGCCCTCTGAGGAAACTCTGTTTACAGATGGTTTGGAACCTGCCTCCAGCTCAAGTCCTTTCTGGGTGAGCAGTGTTGAGTCTAAATGCATGCTTTCCTCCACATCCATGTCCATGGAGTTATTTGCATTTCCCTAGAAAATCCCTCCTAGCTGACGCAGAAGCAGACTTCCAAGGAGCCCCCGGATTTTCCTGGTGAACTTTCGTTTGCGCGAGTGCAGACAGGTTGCACGGACCCGTCACACTGCTGAACAGAAACACATGGCCAGTCTTGTGCAGAACCAGCCCGAACCTTGTCTTACCTGACTTCACCTTGCGAGACTCAAGATGGTGATTACTGAGAGAGTAGAGAGCAAAGCTGCATTTCATTACTGGTTTGTCCATGATGGGTTAGCCTTTCCGGGGGGGGATGAGAAATAGGAGGATGACCTCCGTCACTGAGAGGCAATTGGCGAGAGAGAAAGCCACCCAGCTGGAGGGCGCCCAGGAGACTATGAACTTCACGCACCTGCGGCCGGCAGGGCGGGGCGGGAGGGGCCCGGCATGTGGTTCTCGGTCCAGCTCTGCATGACATCATCAGATGGCAATGTCTCGGCTTCCTTCGGTGCTCTTTCCATCTGTCCACTCTCTTACTGTCCAGCAGTCCTTCCATCAGGGCTGTAAAACACATTCTGTTGGGCGAAGTTTATTTGTTCAGATGGAGTTAAGAGATGGAATGACTTCCGATTTTTTAAAACAATGCCCCGCTCTTTTTTTTTTTCCATTTTTTATACAGATAGAGTGGGAGGGAAAGAGAGGAAGGGAGAGAGAGAGAGAGAGAAACATCGACGTGAAGGGACACATCGAGTGGCTGCCACCCGCACGACCAACCAGGGCCGGGGACAAACTGCAACCGAAGTACGTGCCCTTAGCGGGAACCGAACCCGGGTCTCTCCGGACCGCAGGCCGACGCTCTAACTGCTGAGCCAAACCGGCCAGAACAATGCCCAGCTCTTCATAACACATCCAGGTCGATTTGTTCTGATGTCCTTTAGCTGTGGCCAGAAAGACTCCTATTTTGAAATTCACTTGTCATTATAATCAGGGTCTAGACCAAACCTTTGGGCTTGTTTTTTCCTCCTCTGTCCATTCTGAAAGCTTCTCTGATACACAGTGTGGGTTTCTAGAGCGGATTCACAGAGGCCGAAGTGAAAACTAAGGCTAGTGTTTCCTAAAACCAGAAAAATGACTGATTTCCATGTTATTCAAACAAAATCCCACCCATACATACCCCTTAGTTACTGCAGGGTTTTCAGCCTCAGTTTTGCTGACAGCTTGGCCAGATCATTCTTTGTTGTGGGCCTGGCCTATGCATTGTAGGATGTTTAGCAGCATCTCTGGTCTCTAGCAACTAGGTGCAGTAACCCTCTTGTCCCCAAGGTTGTGACGATCAACAGTGTCCCCCAGATGTTAGCAAATGTTCCCTAGGGAACAAAACCACCCCTGGCTGAGAACCACTGGTACTCCAAACAGGGCTGACAGCAAAGGTGACGTGGGAATAAACCCTGGCGGTACTAGTGACGGTAACTTCCCCTCGGCACACTGAGACAGGATGGAGTCGGAGAGCCAGGGGAGGGGCCCTTCTGCCGGAGCGAAAAGGGACAGACCAGAAGCCTCCGGATTTCACTGAATGCGGTTCTGGATTTTTATTGCCTGACCCTACAAAAAAAATTATAAAGGCATAATTATATCTTGACTAATCGAAAGTCACCCTCTTTGCTCGAGCTGCGAGGAAGCTAGAAATTAATTTGCAGCTTGCCTCTAACGGCATGCACTTTCGAGCAAGGTGCTTATCCCTGCTTCATCGGACCTGTCTGTCCTTCTGCGCTGCGGATCATGTAGTACGTGTGCCCGTCAGCTCCGTGTGGTCCTTGTTCGGAAGGAGGTGGGAATAAATACTTAGATCCATACGTCCATGCTGACGTAAAAACTGTAAAGCTCACTTTGATGATCTGAAGTAGTTAGATGAGGGTCGCCGGACCGCAGCGGTCCGCATTGTCTGTGTCTAACCCCCAGAATTCCTGCCTTCTTCACTGGGTCAGTCTGTCTGGGTAGTGCTTGGGGCTGTTCAGACCTCCGAAAGGAATGGGGGGAGGAGGTGACATCACGGTGTGGGGCATTGCGTAGGCCCCTGTCTGCAGTAGTCGGGATAACGGTTAATCTACAGTTCGGTGAGTAAGAAGCAGTCATTGAGGCACTGACTAGTTGAGCTCCCCGGCCTGGGACAGCCTTTGTAGGGCTGGTCTGAGCGGGAGATGATGATTCTATCAAAACTGGGAGAGAAAAAAGAATCCAGATCAAACCAGACCTGAAGGGAATGGGAAAAGCATCACTGCGTCCTCCTAACATGGGGCATTCTCTCTTTCTCCTTTACCAACAGAAAAGAATGAAATTTGGTTTGGATGAATTATTTAACACCAAATACTGAAAGCGAGCTAAACAAACTTTATAAGGGCTTTGTGAAAGTGCTATCTCTTGCCAAAGTATGAGCGATAGCCCAGAGTGAGTCCCACTGTGCCCGGACCGGGCGTCATGGGCTCACGAATCAGGTGCCGAGAAGGCCACTGTCCCTCAGGCATGCAGCACCTGGTGTGTGTGAAATGCTGTCTTCCTGTGTGTTGGCAAACAGTGGGCGGGATGTTGACCCGACCACCCAACGGAGACCTGAATCAGATACGTTCTTTGCTGGCAGAATGTCTGTTTTCAGACATGGAAATTATACTTAGAAGCAAACTCTTCACTAATAAGAGAGGTGTGTGTGTGTGTGTGTGTGTGTGTGTAGAGAGAGAGAGAGAGAGAGAGCGAGAAGGAGAGAGGGAGGGAAGAGAACGAGAAAGAATTTAATCTCTTAACCAACTACAAGACCAGAGGCAGCCCCTGGCCGCCCCACCATGGATGCCCAGCCCCAGGTCTCAGAGGTTCATTAAGCTGTGCTGTAGCTGTATTCGTCCCGACCATTAGAATCCCAACCCAAAGGGAAAGTTCACGATTACATAACACAGGGGCGGGGAGGGCTATACCGAGCACAGATGTGCATTTAATTGAAATAACCTCAACTCCACGTTCCACAAGTAACAGGAAATATCAGATTCCAGCAACTCAGGGTGCAAGGAGGCTCACAGTTGCCAGGTGACCTCTTTAAACCCCCCGAGGGGTCGTTCCCAGCTGTGTGCAGCCTGGTGAGCTTGCTGTGTGGAGAGCCCTCGCCTGCCCCACGCACCCACCGCGGGCGCTGCAGAAGCGCCCTGGCTGGCTTTGGCACATCTTCCTGAAGTCTCTGGGCAGCCAGCAGACATCTCCAATTAAAGAGTAGCTGCAGGAGGCGAGTGCAACAAAAATTTAATGAAACAGGGACCTTGGGGCCCATTTTATGAGAAATCTCCCCTGACAGAGGTTCTGCAAATTAGTCGTTCTGTGTTTGAGCAAACTTTCTGGCCTCCGAGACTATAAGCAACTCCAGGTCCCTTAACACCAAGAGTCTATCCTGAACTCGGGAAAGCAAGGAAATTT